AAGGTCTGAAGAAGGGTCTAGGCCCAAAACGTCAGCCTTCCTGCTCCTCTGATGCTGCTTGGCCTGCTGTGTTCATCCTGCTCTTCACCTTGTTATCTAACAGTGACCATGTTGATTTGCTATAAAACCCAATCTGGTTCACTAATGCCCTTGAGAGAAGGAAATGTGGTGTCCATGCCTGGTCTGAACTTCATGTGACTCCAGGCCCACATCAATATGGTTGACTCTTAGCTACCCTCTTGGGCAATTATGAATGGGCAATAAATGCCAGCCCAGCTAGTAATTCCCACATACTATGAACAAATTTAAAAAGTGTCCCTTTAAAACATTAAAAAAAAGCCGAGAGCTGAAGCTCATAATGTAGGATCTCACTGAAAGTGGCACATGTAGGTGTAAAGTGAGGTAACTCAGGTCATGGTTATGTGACAGCAAGTTTGGGTTTTAAAAAAAATCTATAAATTGTGGGGCAGAAGAGAGCATTGTTGAAGGTAAGGAGTTTTGAGACCGTGGCTCAAAGTGAAGTATAATGTGGGTCTAAAGGGTAGCTTGTTAGAAAGTGGAGAGTTCTGGTTCTAATACAGTGCATTAAGTGCAGGAAGGCATATTTTGTTATTTTCTTGTCAGCTGATTTTGTACCATAGTCCTATGAAGAGACTTTCTGTAAATTTGCATTTTCTGTGCAACACGTACTTTCTGCAGCAGAGCTGTTGGTGGAGCCCAATGAGTAAGCTGTTTATCGAAGTAGTTGACAGACTTCTAGACAGGAAGTATCCTACAGACATTGAAAAATCAAATAAGTAGGAATTAAATTGCGTAATTACACATTAGTCAAGTTAAAAAAACAACAACCACTGAAATGGAGCTGCCATACATTATTGCTGGAAAGTTTTTAACCAAGTGAACTGATATGTTTACTGTGAAAAGCAGATTATAGTTGGAACATATTACTACATTTTGTAGTTATCAACTAATTTAAGCACACAGGATTGGGATTAATATTATGGCATGAATTGAGAATTGATTGACAAACCAAAAACAGGATGTCAATAAATGGGTCTCTTTTGTGGGGATGTGCATTGACTAGTAGTGTACCTTGAGGATCAGTGCTTAAGTAAGTGATTTGGATGAGGCAACTAAATGCAATATTTTCAAGTTTGCTAATGACACAAAAATAGTTCAGATTGTGTGTTGTGAGAAGGATGCAAGAACGCTTCAGGGCAATCGAGAGAAGTTGGATTTGTGGGTAGACACATGCCAGATGCAGTCTCATGTGGATAAATGTGAAGCTATACACTTTGGTGTGAAAACTAGAAAGGCAGTATATTTTGTAAATGGTGTTATTTTGGGAAACATGGATGTACAATCGAAAATAAACAGACAGGTGCAGCAAGTGATTAGGAAGGCATACAGTATATTCACCTTAAATGCAAGAGAATTTAAGTTCAGGAATTGGGGAGCCTTTCTGCAGCTGTACAGGGCCTCGGTAAGACTGAATCTGGAGTATTATGTTCAGTTTTGGTCTCCCTACACAAAATATGATAAATTTGCCATGGAGGGAGTGCAATGAAGATTTACTAGACTGATACTTGGAATTGCAGGACTATCATATGAAAAGAGATTGGTTCAACTGGGCCTGTATTCACTACAGTGTGAAAGAAGATGCGGGGACTTAATAGGGCTAGACAGTCTAGATACAAGAAGGATGTTTCCCCTGGTTGGGGAGTCTAGAACCAGGGGTCATTGTCTTAAGGTATGGGGTAGACCATTTAGGAGAGAGATGAGGAAACATTTCACTTGGAGGGTGGGAAGCCTGTCGAATTCACTAATACAGCCTTGTGTAGAGGCTGGAACATTGAGTATATTGAATAAAGAGAGAAAGTTTCAGATATTAAAGGCTTCAGAGAGAAAGAAGGAATGTGACATTGATGTAGAAAATCAGCCATGATCATATTGAATGGCGGAGCAGACTCAAAGGTCTGAATGGCCTAACTCCTGCTCCTAGTTTCTATGTTGTTATGATGGTATGCTTATTTCAACTCTCTCCATTTCGGAAGGTGAGACAAAATGGTCTACGTCAGTTTGTGGTATCTTTGGTCTGAGGTGTAAATTTGTCCTTCTGTTCATCTTTTCCTTCCTTGGAATCAAATGACTTTACCATGGTTTGCAATATACAGCAGTTAAGGAAATGAGTTATGGTCAGTCGACACTGGGGATAGAATTTTGCATGCTGATTAGGAGCAGAGCTTTCCACTACTCGCAAGTAGCTGGTTGACTTTGTTTGATATGATTTTTTTCTGAAAGGTCGGATGAACAAGATTCATAGAAATCTCTTTCCTTTGTGCTGTGGGCCAAATGATGGTCATTTAGGAAGTTAATGCAAAAGGAGCTAAATTTACTTGAAAGAAGCAAAGACAGTAATATTGTAATGAAAACAGAAGTTGCTGGAGAAACTCAGCAGGTCCAGCAGCATCTGTGGAGTTAACATTTTGACCCCAGTGATCCTTCTTCAAAATAGTAATACTATAACTATTGAAGGGAAAACTCGTTCTCATGGATGCTATTGTGGAATATTTTTAAAATAGGGTTTCACATAAAATATTTTTCTCAATGTTATGAGCATAATATTGAAAAACCTGCTCTACTCATTTTGCTCCCTATCATCTCAAAAGTGGGTTGTCATTCTCTTGGGAGTTGAGGGGCTTGATTGGCAGCACACTGCATCAGTGAAACATAACAGCTACCATCTTGTTGCAAACTTCTGCTCCCTTCTCAAAAAAAGCCCTGCTTTCTGGCCAACATCTCTGTCTCTGGCTTGCTACAGTGTTCCAGTGAAGCCCAACCCCAGCTGGAGGAACAACACCTCATTTTCCGCTTGGTGACCCTACAGCCCTCCAGACTCAATATTGAGTTCAATAATTTTAGGGCCTAAACTCTCCCATGTCCCAGCCACCCACCCCACACACCGGGCCTTGTTACCACATAGCCTGCCACTACACACCCCCTGTTGTTAGTCACTAACAGTCCCCATTAACAACTATTCACCCTCCCAGCCTGATCGTTAGCAACTCCTTTGTCTGTCCAACTGTCTTTCTCTCTCTTTCGGGCTCTATCCTATCGTTTACTCCCTACCCCACCCACCCCCCTATTTTCTGCATATAAACTGACGTTTTCCCAGCCACCATCAGTTCTGAGGAAGGATCACCGGACCCAAAACGTTAGCTCTGTTTTCTCCTCCACAGATGCTGCCAGACCTGCTGAGCTTTTCCAGCAACTTTGTTTCTGCTCCCGTCTGCTTCTTAATATGGAGTCTTGAGTTTATAGCACTGCTACCAGAGAAATCTTGCAACTTTCCTGAACTTACCATGTTCACTGGAAATTATCGAGAATCTTCACATTTTTCAAGAAATGTATTCATTTGTGGGATGTGGGTGTCGCTGGCTGGGCCACCATTTTATTACCGATCCCTAATTGCCCTTGAGAAGGTGGTGGTAAACTGGCTTCTTAACTGCTGCAGTCCACCTGCTGTAGGTTGACCCACAATGCCATTAAGGAGGGAATATAACTATGTCAGGCTGTTGCTTGACTAGTCTGTGAGACAGTTCTCCCAATTTTGGCACTATCACCCGGATACTAACAAGGAGGACTTTTCAGGGTCAACAAGGCTGTTTCTGCCGTTGTCTTTTCAGGGGCCTAGGTCGATGCCAGCTGATCCGCCTGGTTTCATTTCTTTGAGACTTTGTAGCGATTGTTACAACTGAATGGTTTGCTACCATTTCAGAAGGCAATTAAAAGTCAGCCACATTGCTGTGGGTCTGGAGTCACGTGTAGGCCAGACCATTAGCAAACCTGATTGGCTTTTCCCAACATTCAGTAATGATTTAATGTTCATCAGTGGACTCTTAATTCCATATATTTTTTTCCCCAAATTCCACCATGACAGGATTCAAACCAGGAGCATTAGCTGCATTTATAGCCTAGTGATAGTACCACTAGGCCATCACCTCCCCCAACTGAAGAGTGATGAGATAACGTAGGCATCAGTAGAGGATTTGATAACTTTAATTTCAGTCAGTTACAGCATAAAACTAGATTTAATAATCTCTTTAAATTTGCAAGCAGAACGTTGATTCTCTATTTGCATTTCTGCAATGGTGTTAATTTTGTAATTACAACTAAAGAGCCACTTAATTTGATACATGATGTCTGTGGCTGATTATTTGAATTTAAATCAAAAAGTTTTGCGACTCTTGCAGCTGTTTTATTGAGCAACTTGTACCCCATCTATAGATTTGTGAGTTCTGCAAAAGAATTTTGGAGATTTTATTTGCCTTAACTGGGGGTCAGCAACTGTACTTCTGCAACTACCTCCACATTAAAGAGCATGCAGAAAAAAAAACAGTTTTTCAAATCATTCACTGTTGGTGAGCTGCCTTCTTGAACTTCTGTAGTTCATTGTGGGTCATTGGGGGGTGGGGATGTGCAGCAAAGTAGGGAGACCCCAATATTCTACCAGGCAGAGAATTCCAAAACTTTGACCCAGCAATAGTAAACAAACAGCAATATAATTTCAAATCAGGATGGCATATGACTTGGAGGGGAACTTGCAGGCATTGGTGTTCCCATGTGTCTACTGTCCTTGACCTTTTGGGTGATAGAGGTCAGTGGTTTGAAAGTTGCCAAATAAGGAGCCTTGGTGAGTTGTTGCAGTTAATGTTGCAGATGGTGCACACTGCTGCCAGTGTGCATCAATGCTCTAAAGAATGAACAAAGAATATAGAGGAGGGTTATCAATCAAGTGGGTTGCTTTGTCTTGGATCGTTTTGAGCTTCTTGAGTATTGTTTGAGTTGCTTTCATCCAGGCAAGTGGGAATTTTCCACCATACTCCTCACTTGTGCCTTGTAGATGGTGCAGAGGCTTTGAGGAGAAAACAGGTGAGTTACTCACTGCAGACATTGCAGCCTCTGACCTAATTTTCTAGTCAGAGTATTTATATGGCTAGTTCAGTTCAGTTTCCGGTCAGTGGTAACTCCCAGGATGTTGATGATGGGGAACAGTAAATGCCAGTGAATGTCATGGGATGTCTCTTGTTGGAGATCATTGTCATCTGGCACATTTGTGGTGGGAATGTCTCTTGTCAGTTACCAGATCCTTACAAAATGTATGTATTCTTTATGCAATTTCCTCTGCTCCCACTAAATAACCTATCTTTTCTTCCCACCTTTCAGGTGCTTATAGTGTTAATCACAGGTTTTATTGGGATTGTGCTGCTCAATCACCAGCGAGATTACACTGTGTGGGTGCTACCACTCATCATTATTTGCCTATTTGCCTTCTTTGTGTCACACTGCTTCTTGTCCACGTATGAGATGGTGGTGGATGTTCTTTTCCTCTGCTTTGCTGTTGACTCCAAACAAAATGATGGGACCCCTGGACGCGAGTATTACATGGATAAAAGCTTAATGGTAAGTCATGGAGAATCCTTTAGTATTTGAAGGAAATAATTTGCCAGTGGTTTATGTTGGCCTTAAGCTGGCATGTTTATTTTGGTGGATTAAGATCCGGAGTTTGCTGTTTGGGATATCATGAACATGTTCTGGTAAACTTTAATATGTGCCGCTGATCTGTGTCCATGTGGTGTGGAGTTACATCTTTGATTTCTTAATAATTCTTGTTGTGCTAATCTCCACCTCTCTCACCACTATCCTTTGGTATTCCTTTGCTAATGGCAGTTGACCACTGTTGTATGAGTTTGATGTGCATAGTTTTACTGAATCTAAGTAACATCTTCAATTTTCATTAGATTCTGTTGTCCCTGTTTTAGGAATTCATGGATGACAGCAGGAAAGCAATGCGTTCAGGTGGTCGTGGGGCAGAGATGAAATCAATGGTAGGTGCCAGTGAGGAATCGGCAGTCCTCCAGGAATTTCACTGTTACTATCTGTCTCTTTCTGTCTTCGTAGACTGGTCTCACTCTGGTGAAGTCTTTGCTTTGTGTGTCACTCAGGATGTCCTACTATTTCTGTTTCTCTATTTGCCAATCAACTGGATGGGAGAATTATTCAGCTTGTTTCGTGCTCAGCCTGTCGTAGCAGTTAGTGGAAACTGTGGACAATAGCAGTTAGACTTTTGGAAATATGCATATCCTGCAATGTCTCAGTACATGGCATACAGTAAAGAATTGGAGACAGGTTTTGTTTTTTAATCAAACATGCAAATTGATTCTTGTCACATATATTGTCATCACTATTAATAACCTTGCCTGCAGATTTTGTTATTTTTAACATCGTATGCTGATCCAATATTAGTTTCCATGATCAGCTAGAGAGAGACTTTTTCAGAGACATACTCCCCGCATCAGCTGTATCCCTGCTGAGAGGCAGCATGCTCTTGCCGTGCAGAGTAGCATCTGGTAACCCTGTCAAGACTTGGCAAAAGTTGAATAAGTGGTGTACCTAAATGCATCAGTGCTGAGATGTAGAGCTGAACCTCATGCAATGTATACTTTGTCAAGGGTTCACTGTTGGTAATATACCTCATAGTTTTACTTGGCACAAACCATGTGTTCTTTAAAGACAAATCTAGTAGATTTATTCAGCTTCAAGTATGCCCAGGTTACAACATAACACAACTTGTAATGCTTTTAATGTGGAACTTGCAAGCGGGATTTTTTTTGTGATCTGGTTTGGTTTCACTTTGTAAGCTTTTGTTAGGCTATGTATAGGTATTGCAGATTTTCAAAAGTCTAAAATGACAAATAACACAAGATCATATTATTGTCTTTGGATAAAGTTATCACCTTCAAATGATGACATTTATAAATCTCTCTTTGGATGTTTCTCATCACTAAACAGTTACAATGTAGTGGTGGATTTATTCTGGAACTGTGCAATAACTGCTACATTTCCTTTGCTTGTTTCAGCTATCTTTCATCTTTTTATATTGTTTTTGTGTTGCAAAGGAAGTAGCAAATTTGTGTCTATCCTCCCTTGACATTTTCTTTTTTTTCAACATTTCAGCTTTTATAATGCATGTTACTGTGTTGTTACCATGTTGGGTATAATGTTTTGCGTGTATGTTTGTACTCTGTGCAAGTATCCCTGTTTTACTGGCTTGTTTAAAAAATATATCTGCAGTTAGCAGCAACTAGCTTGAGCATTTAATAAGTTATTTCTTGAAGAAAGGACAACTTGCATTTATCATCACCACCCAAATGCCTTATAGCCAGTGAAGGAATTTTGAATTTTATCACTGTTCTACAGGAAACTTGGCAGCTAGTTTGTCCCTGACTAGAAACAGGAATGCAGAAATGGCCAGTTATAGTGGCATTTGTTGATGAATAAATTTTAGCGAGAAGTTGTATGCTTTAAAAATAGTGTTGGGTCTACCTGAGAGAGTAGATGGGGGCTGGATTTACCTTCTTGCCAGTAGACTGTGACTTTCACACTTGCAGCATTCCCTCTGCACTGCACTAAAGCACAAGTCTCCATTTTAGTGGTTCAAGTCTGTGGAGTAAGGATTGTACTCACAACATTCCAACTCTGAAGCAGAGTGCTACCTCATGATGGTCTAAATCTCTGTAATATGTAATGCATGATTACTATGTACTCATACAGCCAGATATTCTCCATCTAATGCTCTGATCTCAGCCTGTCCATAATACATACTGCTGGTCTGTGCATGGTTTTGGAGTGCTCAATTCTCAATATTAGTGAAATGTTGAGATATCCTTATAATCGGCAAATTGATGCAGGTACATAGATTAATGTTGGAGGCACTCTTACAGTAAAATGAAGTGTATGCCTGATTAGTGGTGTTCAGTAACTTCCTTTAAGCAGGTGGTTCCTTCAGGTAATTCGCAGGGAAATTCTCAGGTGGTGAAGCGATTGCAGAAGTTAAATAAATTTAAAGCTAACCAATCAAACAAAGTGACAATCTACTCCATTGAGGGGGAACTGAATGGATGGTTAGCGATAGGATATCACGTATCAAATTTGTAATCAAAATATTGGCTGAGCTGAATTCTTCAGTGACTCAAATGTATCAGTGAATATTCAGCTTCCATTTTGAAGGGAATAGTTTATAATTTTTATTTTTATGCAGAAGAAACATTGTGGAGGAAAATCTGTAAAGTGTTTCAAGACATCAACTGGTGGTGGAAAGCAGTATATAAATGCAAGCTCCCCTTCTTCAGTATATTCTAAGAACAACAAGGATAAGGGGTTGTACATTGGCTTTTGCATTGTTTCAAAGGGTCAAACTCTGCAGCTTTCATTATTTCATTCCTCATAAAGTGAGGCAAGTCATTATAGTGCTAACAATTGATCTGACTGCTTAGGTGAATAAAATGCTGGCATATAGCTAAAGGCAAGCCATGTGAATAATTTAAAACACCGTCTTAGAAGATGGAAACAAAAATGTAGTGATATCAAAGTTACCTGGAGTGGCTTGCAAACATGCTTTAAAACTTTGGGCAAGTCTATAATTGAAGTAAGATGCACTTAAGATTTTAATTTTTGATTAAATAAGCCAAAAATAAAAGGGATACTTGAGCTTCAAGCAGAAACAAATGTTAATCAAATAGTTCATGTAGTCTAAGATTGCGCTGTACTGCTGTTTGTTTCTTCTAGACCTCTGGAAATGACAACGCTTGATTATGGCAATTCGCTGGAACACAGCGGGTAAAACAACACAGGGCTTTACGAATTGCATTTTTGTGTGAATCCCTAATAGCCTCTAAGGGTTAGGTCACAAATATGCTTTTTTAAAAAAAAAAATTAAAAACTTGCTTGTAAGTTTTTTTTTATTTCTAACAGAAATATTACCAATTTGAAGAAATATGGAACCTGTTGAAAGCAGGTTTGGTTTCAGTTGCCTAGCCTAAAAATAATCCTGTAACTAGATAATGCTGTACTATCTAATCTCTTATGGATGTATCTTTTGCAACACTATAGACACTATATATTCTGCTTTGTAGGTATGGTAAACATGTGCTTGTATTCTTTATATGCATTTCTTCAAGAATATTTTTTAAAACAGCAGCACGGCAGTACTGATTATTATGAATGCATAATAATACTGTAAATAATGTCTCTTATTGCTGTGCAGCACTCCTGTCCTGTTGCTACATTCCTAATGGAATCACTGTACTAAAAGCTCAGGATAAAAATGCCGTCCTTTTCAGGTATTTGTCTTGTCAGGCAAGCTAACAGAACTGTAGGACAATTTAAAGTGGGCAGGTGACTTAATGCAAAACAAGAGTCAAAGTGACAGGTGGATAAACTTTGTTTGAATGGGGTGAAAGATGGCAATCATTTTCCAATGTGCAACTTATAAAAACCATCTCTTGGTTCCCTAATCAGGGTTCTTCCAGCATGTATTGTCAACTAGCAAGTTCTGGAAGTTCCTTATTTAGCCTCAGTTACATGAGCTGACCAGAGTCATGGTAGTGGATGGGCATCAGGTTTACTCTTGTTGCCTCTGAATTGGAGAAGTGAAAGTTGCCCAGCCTTTTGACACTTGGTTGCTGTCAAGATTCCCATTAGAAGTGCGTTATAGGGATGTTGACTAAGTTTAGGGATGATATGATGCTTCTTATCCCAGTACAGGTGCTGATGCTCATAAGTTACTAAATGAACAACGTATTTTAGCTGGGTGTAGTGCAGAGGGAGTTGTCTGCCTGAGGAACATTGGGGAAGAAGAAAATTGGTAGAGAAAAGCGAAGAGAAATTTTAATTATAAGGTCTGGGACCATCATCGTTGGAGGAATCCCTTTTTGCTATTTTTAAGTAGACTTTATACATCATGGCATAGGCCAAGGTCACCTGCGGCTATTGGGTTTGGGGCAATTTATTTGGCCAAGTTGCTTGTGGATGATGACCATGTTTACCAACGTAGATGAACTGGCCGACCAGTAAGTGGATATTGCCATTAGATGCCATTTACTATCTCACATTCTATGAAGTGTTTTGCTATTTTATTTAGATAGTCATTCAGTAAAATATTCTGAAATCTTTGATAAACCCTACTCTCACTAATTTTAACTGTGCAGGACTTCCAGGTCTTTGTGTTTCTCTTGCATTTTCAGGGTTACTTTTTCTGCAACCTGTGGCAGTGGAGCTAACCAGGAGTTCCATTTTACCATTGGTTAAATCTGAGCAATGAGTTTGGACAGAGGCAGTTCTCCCTCTTCCCCGAGCTTTGAGTAAAGGAAGTGGCCTCTTTGCTACACAATTGGCAGGAGGTGGATACCTTTGACTGCTTTCTTGATGGCTTTGTCAGCATGCTTTGTGACACTCCCACTGATTTTGGGTAATGGGGATTCTGTGGGACCATATGGATCTTCAGATTTTATGTCCTCTGTGTTGGCTTTAATTCCAGCCATTTCATAATTGTTGATCCATTCCTCAGTTTTTCTCTCCATCTTGCTCTCCTAAGTGTCAGATGTTACTTGTGCCAGCGTTGCCAGTTTTACTTAAGGATTAGAGAGCTATAGTCAAATGATATGGTAAAGCTGCTACTATAGATGAATTAGGAACTAAGTGAATTTAAGGGCATAATAGTTGATCTTGCTAGTTCCTCATAATTTTAGTTAATGTTTCAAATCTGCAAATTGGCTCCTGGTAAATGAAATAAAATATAAAGTAAATTGTAAGGGTCCACATACAAACATGGGCATTAGAAAACCAATAATTATTACTTTCTGGTGTAACAAGGCTTTGATTAGTTGTTGATTTCACTCTTAATAAGCCAAGAATGGAAAATCAGGTCCCTTTTAAAAGGTAGACATTCGTGTCTTGCTGTAAATGTTCTGCTGCTTTCCATAATCATGTTCCTTTTAGTCACATTGTTGAATGTGGGAGTCATTCAGTGATTGGCAAAGTTATTGAAATCTTTCAGAAATAAAATACAAAACATGCAAACCCAAGACTTAGAAACAGGAGTAGACCGTTTCGCCCTTTGAGCCTGCTTTGCATTCAAAAAAATCATGGTGGATCTCATCATGATCTCACCTTCACCCTTCTGCCTGCCTTCCTTAATCCTCAACTCTTACGTCAATCACAAATCCATCTAACTTTGCGTTAAATAAATTTAGTGAAAAATAATCTACTTTCTCGAGAACAGAAGTCTGCAGACTAACAAACCTAAGAGAAAAATTAAATTCTCCTCATCTGAGTCTTAAAAGAGAGATCTCTTGTTAGTTATCTGTGGCCCCTGGTTCAAATCTCTGCCACGAGAGAAACATCTTCATGTTAACCTCCTTGAGAAGTCCCTCAGGACCTTATATATTTCAGTAAGATCACCTTTCATTCTTCTAAACTCCGGTCAATATATATTAAACATATTCAAGCTTTCATTATAAGATAATCTCTTCATCCCGAGAATGAGAGAAGTGAACCATTTTTAGCTTCTTTTAGTATAATTCTTCTTTTTCAAAAAAGACCAAAACTGTACACAGTACACCAGATATGGTTTTCTTAAGAGCCTCTATAATAAAAGACACTGTAAAATTTGAATTATCTGTTTGTGAAGTCAGGTGTGTACAGTCTTTCTTAGGCCATAGCCCCATGACGCAATCAGAATTTCTTCAACTTTGTAACTTTCAGATTTTAAAGGGCCAAAACTGAGTTTCATTACAAGTTTCCAGTTGAAGCTTTTTCTTAAAATAAAAGTTGCACACATGGAGAATTCCCAGTTTACATTGGTGATTTACCAATTCAAATAACTACACCAGTGGAAAGGCTAAGTTTTGGATGAGGACTAACCTGCAGCTACAGCCAATGAAGCATTTTATACTCTTCTTAGTTACCCAGTCCACTTTTGCTATCTTTTCCCATTTTAAATGCAGTAACTTGCCATGTAACAGTTGAAGTCTTCGATGTGTAAAACCATCTAGAACATGCTATTGAACCAAATAGTTGGAAATTGCTCAGGGTGAAAGATCTGTTCAATGTCCCAGTGGTAAATTCTATAAACAGAATTCATGTGTGTTGTGTACAAGTTGTTTCTCCCATTGGCTGGAAAGCTGTCTTGTATAATGAAGCATTTACTTGCCCTCCACTTACTTTACTTGGAGCTTTAACACCATGCAGTACAATTTATGTATCACTTTATAATATTTGTATATTAAATTTTTTTTAATAAAAAGCAGTTTGTATATTGTCTGAGCTCAATGACTCATCATTGCGTGCAAAGCATTATATTGAATTTTGACATTGGTATGATTTTTTTATTTCTGTGCAGAAGCCTTTTATTCTTTTCAACAACTAATGGTTATAGAGAGCTACTGGACATGTAAAAGGAAGGAAATCAATACCTAGTGTTTTCAGAGGATGACAGATTGAATCCAGGCATTTCTAAACCTTGTAACTGGAACAAAGCAATTCAGAATATTTAGTACTGGTATAGGATTGCTCAGTCACTTGACTTTTGAGATGAGCTTTGTGAATGCAATGGAATGCATTTCCTTCCTGTATTCCAGTGTAATTTAATATTTGATAGGGTGTGGCAAACAGCAAAATGACATTGAAGGACACATACTAAAACAGAATTTGATTTGTTGTGTAAAATAGGCTGCATTCATGTGGAATTTAGTATTCTGTATTTATCTTCTTTAATGGGTCTGTTGATGATCCTTTCCAAAATCTTTAACTCCTCATTCAGTAGTTTTGTAGTTTATTTTCCTGAAACATATCCCTTTTTCTTTCATTTTAACCCAAGTGGTTTCTGTTTGTTTATTTCAGAATTTTGTATAGACTTTGTTCACTTGTTCTGAAAGGAGAAAATCTTGATTAACTTTACAGATTTGGTCTATTATTCCCACCTTGGTTTAACCATGACTTTTGACTCTAGTCTAACTTTTGGAAGGTAAGTCAAATGGCTAATATTCACTCGCCTTTGGCATTTGTCCTGTGCTAGCTGAGAATGCAGCAGCAATTAATTTCATAATGGCCTTTGCTCAGTTGTTTGAACAACGAGTTTATGATTCAATTTGTCTTAGCCTAATTTGATAAAGAGCCCCCAAGAAATTAAAGTCTTTAAATCTAATGTATTATGATCCTTTATCATTTTGGGGTTGGAGTATTTTTATTATTTGTTCAAGGGAATGTGAGCATCACTGGCTAGGCTAGCATTTATTGCACATGCTAATTGCCCTGGAGTAGAGAGGGTGAGCAATTTCTAACCCGTGCAGTCAACTTTTGAATTACGTTATGTTTCGCCCATAATTCACAAATCCTAAACAATTTGAATTGTTCCCGCAATAAAAAATGATCTAGCATTGCTTTTGGAATAAAACATTTATCCTTTGCATCCCATTTGCTAATCGAACTTTATGCCCAGTTCATCTTAATGATCAAATCATTCCACGTATTTTGAAGTTGTCATGATTCACGTTTGCATGCAGTGAGGAATGATCATTTATAGTTTCAGAAACATGCGGTGAAACATCATTATAGGCCTTTGAACCGTCTGAGATAATGCTGCTTTACTCACAGTAGTCTCTAATCAGATTTAATGGAGCTCTAGGCAGATCTACTTAAATGCATGCACAAAACACTTCCCACTTGCTTCAACAGCCGGTGATGTCAGATAGGAGCAATGTGAAGGAAATTTAAACTCTGTACTAATGCTAAGTAATGAACAGACAGTCCATTTGATTACTAGAGATCTTAAATTTCTAATTTAGTGATTTAAACTTTTGGCATTGTATTATAATTGCTGCTGGCATAAATTATATGTTTGAAGGCTTTTTTTTTATCCAGCTTCTCTTAGAAGACTGGCATTATGTACAACCACAATTCTACGCAGCATAATAGTCTGGTTCAAGTGAAAGGTTTTGAAACTCTGAGTGAGAAATTGTCTCAATGATGCCTCTGTTTCTCTGCCATGAACCATCAGCTGCTTCCTGCACAGTCCACATGATGTTCTGACAAACCATAAGACCATAAAGATGTTGAATTGCCATTACTCTTAACAGCCCAAATGATGCCAAGTTTGGTAACACGTGCTGGCAGAATCTGCATTAGAAACTCCTGAGGCAACAAGCTTTCTGAAGTAAGGTGTGCCCTGTTTGGCAGCAATTGAAAGGGCTACTCAGGTTTCAGATAGGCTATTTTTGAAAAAGTAGAGAATGTAATATAGGTCCATGAACAAAGAAACAAATCTAATGTTTCAGGCATGAGAACATTTTTACCAGGTATCTTGATTAGTTTTGACTAAGGCAGTTTTTGCGGAAGCACTGCAGTAAGTTGTTGGAGCTGTTGTTGAGACTTTTGCTGCACGTTGTAAGGGCAGAAAATCCAGTGCCTTAAACTAGAATGGGGGCATCTCAAACAATATTATTTAGTCTATGACATGAGCAGGACATTGAAGACACTAAACCTAACCCTGATGTTGTACGTGGGAAGTTCTGCATGGAGGGAAATGTTGTGCTGAGAGCTCCTCTCTGACTTGGCCAAGAGCCAGAAACAGTGCTCAAAGAGGCTACGCGTCACCAAGGAAAGTGACATGGAGTTGTGCTACCTCCTTCATACCACGTTGATGCTTGAAATCAAGGAATGGGCGGCCCTCCCTTTGGCATTATCATTCTATAACAGTAAATCCTTTCTGGGAAGCAGCTGAAATCAGAAACGGCTTGCCTTTTACGATTTTATAAATGCCTCAAAGAGGTCACAGAGGTGCTGTGTGAAGGACATTCTTCTTGAGGACAGAGCAGCAGGAAGAAGGGACATGCTGGTGTGTTAGCAGCCTGCTTTCGGATGGGGCAGGGTTCCGTTGATTCTGCAGACATGGCTCTGTGGAGACCCCACATATTCGGAAAGCAATGACAGGAACACAAGAGCTACTGCTCCATGAATGTGAAATTGCACGTGACCACAATAAAGCCAGAAAGTTCATCTTGGTGATTGTTCATCATCCTGGCAGTATCTACACTGCACTGAGTCTGCACCAACTCACACTGGCTTCCATCTTCAGACCTCCATGACCCACCAGCGAATGGCTGCTCGGAGATGAGGACTACCTCATCTGTGTATGGGCGATGACTCCCCTTCTGTCATACCAAGTCAGAGGGGACTAAGGTACTGCGGAACTGCGCACGGTGAACTGTGGAGTAAGCCATCATCTCTTCAAATAATAATTCCCCTGCCTAGATCGACTGTTTGGCAAGGGGTGGTGGGTACCTTCTCAATACTGCTTCCCCCCCCCCCAGAACAGTTGTCTCTGTGGTGGTTTCCTGCACATTGCACTTCCTAGCTTCCTGAGAGCCTTTAAGTCCCTTTTTTTAGGATCTGGGGCCCACCCTGAGATGAAAGGTGAAAGGACCACATCCACCCCATTTACCTGAATGGAACAACAAGGACCAGGTTATGAGATTTCACTTGAATTTGCATATGAAATACAAGTAGAAGTAGAACATTCAGCTTCTCAAACATGCTCCATCATTCAATAAGATAATGACAGATCTATTTGTATTTCAATTTCCATATTCCCATCCACCCCAATAACCTTTGATCCCCTTGCCTAATTAAAGTTAATCTCTATCTTTAAAATGTTCAATGATTCCACATCCACTACCTTCAGAGGCAGAGATCCAAAGTAGCACAATGTCTGAGAGGAAAATAATTCTCCTCATCGCTGTCCCAAAAGGACGACTCCTAATTGTAAAGCAGTGCCACCTAGTTCTGGACTTGGCCACATGAAAAAACACCCTTTCCACATCCTGTGTTTTGAGACCATTCCAATTCTTACATACTTCCATTTGTATATGAACCGCATGGAAACAATCTCAATCTAACCTATCCTCATTGAGACTCAGAATGAGTGTGCTGTCTAATCTGGTAAACTTCCTTTGGATTGCTTTGCAAGGGTTTTTAAATAAGGAGACCAAAACTGAACACAGCTTTAGCAATGCATTATCACCAATGTCCAGTGTAACTGAAGCGTAACAGTCTTACATTTACGTTTCCTCTCATTATGAAGAATAGCATCACACTAGCTTGCCTTGATTATGTGCTGTACCTGTATTTTAACTTTTTGTGACCTATGCATGAAAATACCTATTTCTTGCTGCACCTTGGATTTCCATAATTATTTTCGATTTAAGTGAAAGACCCATTTACACAGGCTGTTTGTTTTCTGTCAGCCAGCCTTTTATCTATGCTAATATGTTATTGTCTACAACATGATGAAGTGTGAGTTAAATGGAACAAGCTTTCTATCCCTCCGTACGGATCCACCAGTTCCCAAGCTAGAATCCATATCAGGCTCCTGATTGGAAATTCCCCAACCAACATGAATCATCAGATACCTATGGCAAAATCTTTCACTGGTCAACTTTATCCAGCAAAATGTCAATAAAAGAAAAAGAAACTTTAAAAAAAAAATTCATTAATAGGATGAGGGCGTTGCTGGCCAAGCAGCATTTTTTGTCCATCTCTAATTTCCCAGAGGGCAGTTCAGAGTCAACTACATTTCTGTGGGTCTGGAGTCTCATATAGGCCAGACCAGGTGAGGATGGCAGTTTCCCTCCTTAAAGAAGGAGGGAACTATATTCTATTCACTCTAGTGCATTTACTTAGTCCACATCTTACGAGTGTCCTTAGTTGGCCTAATGTTCCGATGCAATGCTCCCCTACAGTTTTGGCATGGCTGCTAACTTCCACTGGGAGAGATAACAAAAACTGCAGATGCTGGAATCAAAGACAACACAGTGTGGAGCTCTTCAGAAAAAGAGCCCTGACCCGAAACATCAACTTTCCTGCTCCTCCGATGCTGCCTGTCCTGCTGTGTTCCTCCAGCTCCACACTGTGTTGTCTTTCACTGGGAGAGACTAGAGATGAGCCGTTGAGCAATCTCTGGGTTCCATTTCTGATTTCACCTCATCCTGAGTGGCAAAAGCCTCGGTTGACTGCTGTTGTCTCTCAGCCAATGAGCAAAAGCAGTGGTGGGAGCATGAATACTGTCAATCTGAGGCGATAACCAGTTATACTTCATGGTGCCATTGATGCTGTTTTTGGGGGAAATGCCTCCGCAATCCCAATAATCTACTGGAGCGTGAAATGTTCTAAGAACCAGCTTCTGTCCTGGCATAGAGATCGATAGTGGTATCAATCTGAGCCTTGGTAAAAACATGTCATCTCTCCACTTGTGTCAACAA